TCATATGTGGATATAAAACGGGATCGGGTAGCTGTTTTCCGACACGAGAATCTCCCCTTTGACATAGCCTCGTCTGGGGATCTTCTGTGTCGGGAGGCAGAGAGTTTGACCAGCACAGCTGGAGACGAATCTCCAACTGCAAGATATGTATCAACCGCCCCACGAGGTCAGATATCACATAAGGCCGAATTTAATTTTGGGTATCCGAGCCCGTAAGCTGGGCAAAAAATTCCCCGTAGACCCAGTATAAAACGGGGTCAAGTAGCTTTTTCCCGAGACGTGACTTTGCCCTTCGACATAGCCTTGTCTGGAGATCCTCTCTGCCTAGAGGTAGAGAGTTTGACCGGCACAGCTGGAGACGAATGTCGAACTGCAGACCAACATACAGTATTTACTACTGTATTTATATGAATAGAGAAATACCCATTATCATTCATAGGTATGCTACAACAATAACAAAAAATAATAATAATAATAATAATAATAAGACTATGACCAAAAATCGATCAAATGTTTGATGACACCCGAATATTAATTTTCAGATAAATGATACCATCCTCACCAATTCTGAATCTGAGCAGGACTTTAAAAATTAATAATAAAAGCCAAAGGAGAGGCAGAGAGATAAAGAGAGAGAGAGATAAAGAGAGAGAGAGATAAAGAGAGAGAGAGAGATTATATAAATACATGTAAATAATATGATTTTAATATATATATATATATATATATATATATATATATATATATTTGTATATATATATATATATATATATATATATAAAACTTATAAAATTCATGACTATTTTTTCACATTTTTCCAGGTATTATATTTTTGATTTTTCATTCTATACGATTTGTAACCATTATTTTCATGTCATTCTCTTTGAGAATTTCTATTTAAAGTTGTTTCTTTTACATTCATGCCAATTACCATTGTTCGCTGTTTATTGTTCGATAAAAATCATTCAGTTGTAAATAATTCCAATCTCTTTGGCACCGTGTGTGCCAAAGAGATATGCTTTCAAGCTCAATATGCTTTCAAACTCGATATGCTTTCAAGCTCTCATGAATATGCGTTTAACACTAAACGTCTGTTTGATTTAAATATCAGATTTGTGCAAAAGTATCGTCCTAAAGTCAGTATACAGGAATTAACTATTTCCCCATTCGCTTAAGCTCATGTAAAAAAATGTTAATGGTAACATTAACTTATACCTTATAAAGAAAGAATCGTTATTCAATGGTCGAGAATTCAGTGCTGCTTTCGTTTGAAATTTATAAAAAAAATTTATTAAAATATTCTTTCAAGAAAATCAGTTTCTCGAATCCTGTAGCTGTTATTGACTTGAGCAATGACAATTTTTGGGGTGATCCTTCCTAATCTTTTCTTTCTGTAGGCTTCCTTCCTAAACTTTTTTCTTTCTGGGGGCTTCCTTTTCTAGCCCTTTCTTTCTGGAGCCCTCCTTCCTAACCTTTTCTTTCTGGGAGCTTCCTTCCTAACCTTTTCTTTATGGGGGCTTCCTTCCTAACCTTTTCTTTCTAGAGGCTTCCTTCCAAGCCTTTTCTTTCTGGGGTCTCCTTCCTAACCTTTTCTTTCTGGAGGCTTCCTACCTAACCGTTTTCTTTCTAGGAGATCCCTTCCTAAGGTTTTTCTTTCTGGGGTCTTTCTTTCTAATCTTTTCTTTCTATGAGCTTCCTTCCTAACCTATACTTTCTGGGGGCTTTCTTCCTAACCATTTTTTCTTTTTTTTCTGGGGGCTTCTTTCCTAACCTTTTCTTTATGGGGGATTCCTTCCTAACTTTTTCTTTCTGGAGGCTTCCTTCCTAACCTTTTCTTTCTGGAGGCTTCCTTCCTAACGTTTACTTTCTGGAGGCTTTCTTCCTATCCATTTTTTTCTTTATTTTCTGCAGGCGTCTTTCCTAACCTTTTCTTTCTGGGGGCTTCTTTCCTAACCTTTTCTTTCTGGCGGCTTCTTTCCTAACCTTTTCTTTATGAGGGATTCCTTCCTAACCTTTTCTTTATGAGGGATTCCTTCCTAACCTTTTCTTTATGGTGGATTTCTTCCTAACATTTTTTTCTGAGGGCTCTTTCCTAACCTTTTCTTTCTTCGGGCTTCCTTCCTCCCCTTTTCTTTCTGGAGACTTCCTTTCTAACCTTTTCTTTCTAGGAGCTTCCTTCCTAACATTTTCTTTCTGGGGGATTCCTTCCTAACCTTTTCTTTTTGGAGGCATCCTTCATTACCTTTTCTTTCTGGCGGCTTCTTTCCAATCTTTTTTTTCTGGAGGCTTCCTTCTTAACCTTTTCTTTCTGGGGGCTTCCTTCCTAACCTTTTCTTTCTGGAGGCTTCCTTCTTAACCTTTTCTTTCTGGAGGCTTCCTTCTTAACCTTTTCTTTCTGGGGGCTTCCTTCCTAACCTTTTCTTTCTGGGGGCTTCCTTCTTAACCTTTTCTTTCTGGGGGCTTCCTTCTTAACCATTTCTTTCTGGGGGCTTCCTTCCTAACCTTTTCTTCCTGGGGGCTTCTTTCCTAACTTTTTGTTTATGGATAACAGCTTTTCTTCATACAGAAAAATGAAATCCTTACTAAAGAATAATATTTTACTTCATCTATAACTTTGAGAAGAGCTATTATCATTATCCAAGAATTGTTCTGACAGACGGAAATTCTTCTCATTCCTTTTGCTGTTCTCAGAACGTTCCAGTCAAACCATTCTACACAATACTTGCAGCAGGTGCATAATAAGGAAGACATGTGCTAATTTTGAGGTGCCGTTACCATTCTGAATGTTATTTTGAGCAACTGTTCTCCCAACGTTTCAGCCGAGAAACACTTGTTTAATAATTTCACCCGAAGCAAGGTCATAAAGCCACTGAGACTCAAGGGGGTTAATGAATGTGAGAGTATATGAGAGGAGAGCAAATATTTTTTTAAGAAGGAAGAACAATAAAAGAACAGGAATTAGAAGACAGAAGTTAACGAGTGATATGGCATTTACATTTTTTGCATTGAACATACATCTAGCCTCTTTAACTCTAAAATGATGAGACCTTGCCGCCAATCTAGTACTGCGCTTAAATTCATAAAGCCTGGGTATCAAGGAGGAAAGAGAACCAGAACGTATTTATGAAAAGTTACAGTGGAGCTACGTTACGACGGTGGGAAAAGTGACTGAAGCGGAGATGCCAGATCAGGACAAATAACATTACATATTTCTTTTTTTTTTATTTCATCAAGAATCTGTAAATACATAGCTGTTATATACCGTACATATGAACACTAATGGGCAGGTCCCAATCATCATAAATACTTTCGACAATTTTGTAAGTGTGGGTAAGGTGGTGTCTATGTAGTTTACTACTAGGAGTGGTTTACCTAGTTCACGCCGCTGGCGAGTATTGTATTTTGTTGAGGTTATAAAGATTACCATTTTCATTTCCAACCTCCATTTTGGTTACTCTTCATTCAGTAATCCTTTCTATGTTACAACAATAGCAAAAGCACAAGACAAGATGTAGCAAAAATATTCAATGCGTGGATGAATGTTAATCTTATACATCTTTAAGATAGATTCTGACGAGAAGAATTATCTAGCCACAACACGGTGAACAAACATTACTAGCAGCAGCCCTAACAATTGATTCAATATAATCTTTCCCCTTTATGTCAGCAGAAAACGTTAGACCAGAACGCGCAAGGAGTCACTCTTCTGGAGGTTAGCATCAGCCATGCTGATGGAAGGCAAAAAAAAAAATGGTCATCAAAGACGATTAAAAGAGAAAAGTTTTGCTTTGTAGGTCATTTTTTTTTTAGATCACCTGCCGATTTGAACTTCTAGAGCCGATCAAACGTACAAGTTAAGACATTCGAAATAAAAAATAAAAAAAACTGGAATCAAGTCAACACTTCCGAGAACATCGGAGAAATGTCACCAGCAGTCATGAAGAAAAACTGAAAGAAAAATTAAATGATATGAATACAAGACACGAATCATAAAAAAAAAAAAAAAAAAAAAAAAACTATACAGGGTGCGATGAATAAATTGTCGTCTAAATGACGCCGAAATGAAAATAACAGTGGCATCTCATTTTAACAGATATACAGGGTGCGATGGATAAATTTGTCGTCTGAATGACGCCGAAATGAAAATAACACTGGCATCTCATTTTAACAGATATGCAGGGTGCGATGGATAAATTGTCGTCTGAATGGCGCCGAAATGAGAATAACACTGACAGCTCATTTTTAACAGATATACAGGGTGCGTGAAATAAATTGTCGTCTACAAGGCGCAAAAATAAAAATAACACTGACATCTCATTCTAACGGCCATATTTACTAATATTACTCCAAAATATTTAGGAATACTAAAGAGTCAAATATCTTCAATGAAATCGATATTGGCATTCAACCATGGCTGCCATACGACTTCGGAATCTCTTGCTTCTCTTCTAGGCGCTCTCTTTGTTAATCAGGTGAATGCTACCATAATCCTTGCCTTCAGTTCATCTTTGGTGTTACAAGGAGATTTTTTTTTATTTTTTTCTTTCTGTCTCTCGCTCAACTGCGCCACACACATAATAAAGAAGGGTTTTGCAGTCTAGGGAGATAGGTGGCCAGATGTAAATATGATGTGGTCGCAGAACAGAACTACCTCTTCAAGGCACATAATACAGACCTCCTGAGGGATGATGAATGGAGGCATAACATCGCCATCACTAGCGGTCACTCCAAACACCATGATGTTGACTGGATGTATCATCCAACTATTAACGAAGCCTCTGCACACAAACACTCTGAAATGTTTGTATTGAAGCTTCCGGTGCGAATGCCAAGCACGCTGTTACAAGTTTCCGGCGGAATGAATTGCATCAGGATCCACTTTTTTCTCATAGACGGTGCCTAACTGATGCTACTTTGCAGTCGATAATATAAAAAAGAAAACGAAATTAAAAATATAAAATGTTCACAATTTACCCATTGCAATATATACAACTACAGGCTTACGGACATATCATTTTGAAACACCGATTTCTGTACGATCACTGAAGTTAAGCAATGTTGAGCTTGGCCAGTACCTAGATGGCTGACCGAATGGGAATACCAAGTGCTGTAAGCTTGGATATGCGTGTGGGGTAATGGATAATAGTTCGGAGTTGTTAATCGGAGGTCAGAGTTCCAATTTTAGTCGGGTCGTTATATTCACTTAAGCGCAAATAATCTTGGGAAAGGTATGAATCCACCTCTTCTCCCTTCAGATACGGGTTAAATAATAAGAGTTGTATGACTAAAACAATTGTCTCGAAAAAACATTTCTTAAAATCTTCGAATATATTCTGGTTTTCAGAAACCTGCAAACGATTGATAAGTCGTAGAAAATGAATCAATCTTAAGTTTGACCAAATTCTATTCATAATATGCCATGCAGACTATATGGGAGACAACAGTTGATATCTGAATTTCAAACTCGAAGGAAAAGGGACAGCTATATCACAAGGTGAGGTCTGGCATAAAAGAGACGATATAAAACATTCCCTCTGGAATGAAGCCCAAATTGACAGAGGAACACAGCTGGAGAATGAGCAAATTAAAAATTAACAATGAGACCTGTGAGAATTTTAACGATGTTTTATTTTTATTTTTTTACCAACAGTAAATTTAAGATTCAGTCAGTCAGTTAAGTGCCATATGAGATACACGCTTGTTCCTTTCTATTAATGACAGGTTAAGCAGAAGTTTTTTCCGCTGTAGGCGGGCGTTTCCTTCTGCGATAGACTGGAAAACCAAGGTTATTTATCTAAGAGATGTGCTCATAACTTTCCCAAAGGGCATTTGCACCTAAGTGAATATAAAGAACATGATTGGGATTCGAAACAGGCTCTCCGATTTCTAACTCCAAGACCTCATCAACTACAGTAGCACAACGCCCATTCCTGAGGGTACCTATTTGAAGACCACTTCGTTGTATAAAATAAAATAGTTCGATGTGAATAAAACTGGTATAGACAAATAGAGAGATAGGAAAGTTAAGATAGATATACAAATATATAGGTATGAAGAAACAGATAGATAGATAGATAGATAGATAGATAGATAGATAGATAGATGGACAGATTTAGATAAATAATAGAAGAAATTTAGATAGATAGATAGATAGATAGATAGATAGATAGATAGATAGATAGATAGATCGTTTAATTAAGAACAGAAAAGATATTGAGTGTATTTTTCTGAATTATCTGAGTAAAGGTGTGTGTTTTAATACGCATATCTTTCTAATGATAAATATTGAATACTAAAGACTATTTATTTAATGAATTAAGAGAATTTAGGCCGACACGTGAAAAGAATTAGAAAATATTTAAAATAGACTAATTTAGATTTGTCTATAGCACTGTGAATCATCACACACAAAAGAATATAATTTAATTGTATGAAGGTAAGAAAGTATTCTGCGCCTCCCTCTTCACGGTCCCAGAATTGCAGATCAGGTATTCTCAATTTTGTCACCTCGGCAGCAGACATACCAACGTATGTAATACGTTTCAGAGGTGCAATATTACCATTGTTATGTCTAAAATTTTAAAGAAATGGTAATGATGATAGTAACCGTTTCCACAGAATAAACATTCCACATACATTGGTCGAATAGTTAATCGGTTAAAATTTTTTAAATCTTTCTCTTAAAATACATTTACAAATAAGTTTATAATCGCTTTTTTCCAGTATGAATGGGAATTTCTTTATTGTCTTTTTTGTTCAAAGTCGGCTGGAAAATCAACGTCATACTTATGTCCGTAATTTCTCTTCTAGTTACATGTGCTATCCATTTCAGTTGTTGCTGCTGTTGAAAGTCTTTAAGGGATGTAGTTTCTGTTATTTGTTAGTGTTATGGCTCTTTTTAGTATTGATGGGGGTTTCCTTCCTAACCTTTTATTTGAAGTAGTGTGGAACGTCAACATTTTGATTATGTCATTATTTTCTCTTCGAGTTACATGTGCTCTCCATTTTAGATGTTGATGCTGTTTAAAGTTTTTAAGTGATGTGGTACCTGTTATTTTTTTAAGCCTTTCACCCCAAGAAAGGAATCACGTAAGGGGTTACAGAGAGTTGGAGTGAGTCCAAATAGGAGTGATAGAGGAAAGGATGAAGAGAAGGATAGGGGATAGATCAAGGCATCTGGAGACGTTGATTGACATTACATTTGAATAGTTGAAGATTATAGCTATCAGGGAAAGAGGAAAATGGGAGGAAATTCTACCTGCGAGGTGCGAGTCATGAAGCTCTTGGAGTAGAAGAGACAGCTACATTTAACAGTTTCGACAGTGAAAGCGTGAGAACGAAATGCTAGCCTAGTTGAACGTTTAATTTAATGAAGTCTGGGAACCAGCGGTAGCACCTCATCGGAGCAGTTACCATGAAAGTATTTGTAAAAATGACAGAGGGAGGCGACGGCACGTCTGTGAGAGAGAGACTGCAGACGAGATGTCAGATCAGGGCCAATAAGATTGCATATCTGTCTATTGATTAAGTCCAAATTGACAGAGGAACACAGCTGGAAAATGAGCAAATTAAAAATCTGTTTATCTCAAGCACCTTGAGATAAACAGCAGGGGCCCCAGACCATATATGGCAGCAATACTCCATTTCGTAGATTTCTTTATTGAAACGTTAATGGTAAAGAATTTATTGTTATATACAGATTTATACGCACTAGTGTTCCCGACATGACTGCTGTAATCACGGCATTTTGGCTGGTTTTTTTTTTGTTTTTTTTGTTTTTTTACACTAGGTACCCGCAAAAGATCTGGATGGTACAACAGTCACAATGTCGTGATGTTGATAACTAAGACTAGGTTTGGTTGGGTTCGGATTGCTTTATTTTACGGCATATCAACCTCAGTGGGTTATTTAATGCCGACAACTTTTTCTTCCTGGTAATATTTTGTTTTGTCAAAAATCTATAACTGGTAATATTATTTTAAAAAATGTATTACTGGTAATATCTTTTTTTCAAAAATATATTGCTGGTAATAGTTTTTTTTCCATCAAAAATTGATCTCTGGTAATAAATTTTTAAAAAGTATTTCTGGTATTAAAACCTTTTTCCATTTTCTTAATGCTTTTTACCTCAGTTTGGGGAGTTAACTATTCTCCCATAGCTGGGACCCTAACAGGTGCTACCACCACGGGTCAGAGTGGACCTGGGAACACCAGCATTTAAGAGGTGATTCTACGCTCCTCCTGATCAGAGCCCTTGCTGCTGAACGTAGTTTATCGTCTTACCCAGGATGCGGATGTAGTTTATCATCATACCCAGGACGGAACTATGACTAGTATTCCAGTTTATTCTAATAAATAAGCCTTAAATAATCTTTTTACTCTTATTGGCTTCCCAACTGAAGTAAGTTGTATACTGGACCGTTGTGGAGATTTCAGAAGCATGTCAATGAACGACTACAGTTGCCAGTGTAACTCTTGAGATGATAATGACGCCCCAAATAATTACAGAAATTTGTAGAATGGATCGGCTGAATATTTGTTCTGACAGAAATAAGCCACTCCCATAAATATTCCGATAGAAGTTTAATTTATTTATTAATCAGGGAATTTTAATCAGTTGAAGAGTGACTAGTAATGCATTGTTTTATTAAATGTATATATTGACCACTAATAAGTCTACATTTAACTGAATGTAGATGAATATTTTTTCTTAATAATTACCAACGATAATTTGGTTGATGTCAAAAGGATCATAAAAGCGTATTAAATTGATAAACATTCTATATTCTCGGTACGACTTATTAGTCCATAATAGAGACGATTTGATAATATAATACCAAGTAAACGTATTTATCTACTGTAAAATATTTAATTATTTCAGTGAACATTATATCTATCAATATTTGAATAAAATATCATTTGTAATTGATTATGAGGTGAGGATTTGTCAATTCACTTTAATTATTCTTGAGTATTGCTCCTATCTTTATTATTATTGAATGTTATTATAGACACAACATTTCAAACTTCACAGAAACCCTGTCTATATAATAACATCAACGGATTTTAGCTTGGTTGACTTTACAACATGCTAACTTTTGTCGGGTTTCTTAATGTCAAACTTTGTATGGAACACCCAGTGAGGATCGAACTCATAACTCAGAATCAATGGACAACTACACTATCTTCATTAGCAAGATGCGTGATAACACCTGTAATATTCAAAGTCCAACGGTGGAACAAGCGGATCATGATTACAATAGATCTCAACGGTTGAAACAGCGGATGAAAAGGGCTACGCATGATGGACATGCTACAGAAGGCGCCACTCGAAATTATAGCAGACACAGCGGAGTCAGTTGCAGCTTAATAACTGGATTCTGCATCTATCATTCCATATGTACTGCAGAGGAAATCAAGTATGTGGGTCACTTCCTGACAAGATGAATTCCACCTTAAACAAAATCATGCCATCTTCACTTTCTTCTATTCTAATTTTCTTTCACCTTCAACCAACTTTTGCAAAGCCTAACGGCGATAGGGAATCAGGTTGATTGTAGCAGGTTTTGGTGAAACTGGAAGCTTCTGACCCTGAACCTGCACGTTGGCGGCGAATTCAGTCATTAACGCTATGATGATAAAAAGGAAGCGATCAGCAAAGCTGAAATCAGATTCTTGGATAAGCGATAAAGCCGACGACGACGAATCAGGATTAGAAAAATAGTTGATAAAATATTAAAGATAATCACATAAAAATTGGAAGGCAATTCAGTCTTATTTGATAGATATCTGAAAGAACAAATTAAAACCAGTTTACAAAAAAACAAGACAAAAAAACAACCTTCCTTAAGAAAAATTATAATCCCAAAACAGAGCATAGATAATAGCGTTATTGTGACCAGTATTACTAAAATACGAGAAACAGCGGGAAGCAACGAGAAACAACGAGAAACAAACGAAGTATAATTTCAAAATGTCTGACACAGAGGTTTTTGGTCATTTATTAAAAATATCAAATTCTTTTCGCTGCTCATTTTCTTTCATTTTTCGATTAGGTGGTAATCGTCCCAAATTAAAAATCCCTCTAAAATTTATCAAATTGCTTGCAGTGTAA